GGCAGCCCTGGAAATCGATTGTTCTCTGAAGCATGTATTTAGGAAAGCTGTTTTCTTATGGTGCCTCCTTTAGAAAATAATGATTTTGAAAAGTAGTGGAGGGTCGATGTGTGTGTAACATTTCAAATTAACATCTTGAGGAATAGTTTAGCCCTCAGATAGTATAGTTTGAAGGGACCAGATTCAATTCCGCACGAACTGTAAAACCTTCCTTAGCCTCCATGTTGCCCTGGTAACACTAAACAAGCCTTCGGACTTCAGGGAGGCCGGTGCCTGGAACCCGGCGCCAGGGGCCGTGTGCAGAGGCTAGTTTGCTATAGGCGGGGAAAGGACCCTCATGGAGTTGATATTTGCTCATGGAAAGGGCCCCGGGGAGCCAGGTCCCCTCATTGCTCAGATGCACCGAGGACCGGGGTCCCCCACGGTCAGTGCAGGTGAGAGCGGAGGTGCTCCCCGCCCGCAGGCTCTGGGTCATCCAGGTCGGCCTGAGCAGGTGGGATAGTGACCGATAGACCAGGTCGTTGCTCGGTCTCCCGCGGTGTTCTTGTCACTCGGAGGGTTTTCCCCGCCTCGTTGACCCACTGACTGTGCTTGAACCTAGGTCTACTCGGCATGCAGCTTCACCTTTTCCAAGATCCCCTCGCCGTACACCGTATCACGAAGGGTGAGAGAAGCTGCTTCGGCATCGTGCCCTTGTCCTTCTAAAGGCAGTGTCCCTTCCTCCCCCGTTTTATTCTTCACAAATAACGAGAAGAAACTTTCTGGGGCACAAGATACAAAGGGAAACTAAACTCCAGGGTGAACTGTAGATGTGAAGGGTCACAGGGTGGGGACCGAGCTCACGCTCTGTGGGATGGTGGGTAGACCGCTGGCGGCTTGACCGCAGTGGCTGAGGCTGGAGAGGTGGACGGAGCTGAGAGTGGAGAGGTGCCCCACGCCCACCCCCACCTTGGGTACGAGGCATTTTATTTTTAAATTGGAATTTGAGAATGGAGCTTTGTTAACGCGAAGACTTTGTTGGACTAGATTAACGGGAAGTGGAGCGGGCCGACGGCCGGAGGCTGTGGCAACTTCCAGGAGACGCACAGGAATAACCCCATCTACCAGTTCCACGTGGACAGGACGGGGCCGCTGCTCATCGAGCTCCGGGGACCCAGGTCAGTGGCGGGCGGCGTCACTAATCAGTCAGGTTGAGTGTGGTGGAAGGGTCTAGAACGAGAGCAGCGCTGAGTGGACCCCTGACATGAGTGAGACCTGCTGTCGCTGTCACAGAGCAGTGGGAGAGCTGTGCCTCCCATCACTTGCTGGGCGAGCTGGGGTCAGCGGGCAGGAATCACCAGACGCACGTCCCCTCGGAAACCCTTGGGGCCCACAGCCCGTGGTGTGGACAGCGAGCCAGAAAGGCTTTGAGAAGGCACGTGCAGGGCTGTTGTAATGACCACAGGAAAGACCTGGGACAGAAGACTTGTGGATATACCACGTTTGCAGGAAGGTGAGTGGGGAAATGAGCACACTTCTGTGAGCACGTCACAAGGCGAACTCACCAAAAACTGGGCACCCCTGGAACAGCGGTCAGTGCTTGCTGCCCATCACGGTGATGGGATTTCTCTTCTGCCTTCACACCAGTCCTTGGTTCACCAGAGAGAAAAGTATAGTGACTTAAAAAGTTACGTTAGTACCTTCGTAGTTTTTATGGCTTTGATTAAAAATTATAAATGTATAATTGCAAATATAAATATGTGGCCCAACTGGACATGAATGCGTTAGAGTCATAGCCCAACATGATGCATTAATCTTAAAAAGAGTGCTTAGCATAAGCAGCCCTTGAAGAGAGCCATCGTGTGGCGTTAGGAGCCGGTGAGCGAGGCGACTTACTGGAAGATACCCAGTTAAGGGATAAACAAGGAGTCATGACAGCCGTCAAGGCCGGCCTTCCGATCACCCACCGTGATCACCGAGGGACGAGGCCGGCCTTCCGATTGGAGGGAGTCACACGCGTGCTCTGCCCTGGTGGTGGCTCCTGAAGGTTGTTTACAGAGGTCATTTACCTCGCACAGACTCGGTTCTCATCCACAGCTGAAGTTTTAAAGACAGAAGATCCAAGTGGAAATAGCAGTAACAGCGTTGTTTGTTACTTCATAGCATTTTACTTGCCATCAGACTTCTTGAAAAGAGACTGTTAATCCTTTAGATAGGATTCCCTGTTTCACGTCAGTGTCATTTGAAGACGTTTGACTGTTTCGTAGGTGGAAAGTAAGGTCCTAATTTCCTGTTTGGGATGTCCTGTCAAGAGAGGAAGCACAGGACGGTGTGTCCTGACCACGGCTTGTCCATTCTCACAGTGTCGTTTTGTCGTTTGTGTCAGCGTGAGCCGTCTGCTTTATCACCTGCTCTGCACGGTATCTCCAGCAGCACCATTTTGAACATACATATTTTCATTTTAACCACTTTTGTCCAACTGTACACAATGCAGCAACTTCAGGTGCGTTTTGCCATACTCTTTGCATACTCTTTCATTTTGCTGCTCTTTTGTGGTTTTATTTCTCTACCCCATTTTAAAATCAGTATAGACTAGGGTTTTTTTACTTGATGTAAAATACAATTACACTATTTTCCCCTAATCTCTTGTCATCTGATCACCATCTAAACGGTCACCCCTCACTGATGGGGAACAGTGTGTCTGTCCTGAGGTCCTCCTTGCTGCCAAACCCAAGGGTTGGGAGTTTGAAGCCACCTCGTACAAGCTCTGAGCATGTCTGTGCCTCTAAGAGATCCTGCCTGCAGCCGCTAGGAAATCATTTCTTTACCTGGGCAGTGACGGGTCATCGTCCACTGTGGACAGGATGGCGATGGTGTGAAGTGGACACAGTGGTTTATTCAGGCAGTGACGGATTCATTGTCCACCGTGGACAGGACAGCGACAGTGTGAAGTGGACACAGTGGTTTACTAGGGCAGTGACACTTCATTGTCCACCGTGGGCAGGACAGCGAGGGTGTGAAGTAGACAGTCGTTTACCCGGGCAGTGATGGTTCATTGTCCACCCGTGGGTGGGACAGCGAGGGTGTGAAGTGGACACAGTGGTTTACTAGGGCAGTGACGGTTCATTGTCCACCGTGGGCGGGACAGCGAGGGTGTGAAGTAGACACAGTGGTTTACTAGGGCAGTGACGGTTTCTCTCCCCCCACCCAGGCAGTACAGCGTTGGATTTGAGGTGGTCACGGTCTCCGTGGCAGGCGATTCTGGACCTCACGGCTTTCAGAGGAAATCCAGTGGTGACTACAGGTAACGGCAGTGCTGGCGTGGATCCCGTTTCCACCTCACTTCTCTGGCATCGCCAGTAAACCCTGTTCTCCTTTTCTTCACACAGATGTGGGTTTTGCTACCTAGAGATAGAAAATATTCCTGCGGGCATCTACAATATCATCCCCAGTACTTTTTTGCCTAAACAAGAAGGGCCTTTTTTCTTGGACTTCAATAGTGTTAACCCCATCAAGACAACACAGCTTCAGTGATGGAGGAAGGCCGGCAGTGACCACGTTTATACTTGCCCGTCCCCGCTCCTCACGTGCGGACAGACCTCTGCAGGGCAGCGCAAAGCAGCCAGCCGTCCACACGGACCAGAATCTCAAAAACCGCGTCGCAGTGGGAGCTGGTGCCCCGGGGCGTCTGGTGAGGATTTAGAGTAGCTTGAAGCCACTCCAAGTGCAGCTCGTGGTATAAACAGGTGGCATGGACTCAGGGCCGAGGCGTGTTTTGAACGTGCTTACCATTCAAATTGGTCTCCCGGTCAGCACCCTACTGAGAGCAGGCGAACCCGAGCCTGCCCAGGGACGTGGGGGACAGGTCCCTCAAGCGCAAAGGTGGCAGGGTCTCATCCGCCCTCTGTGCTTGCTGCCTCTTCCTGCAGAGCATGCTGTAAGGGAAGCCTGCCTGTGCTGTGACCCCACTGCTCACCTCGGGCAGCCGATCAAACGAATCATGTGGCCATAGCCAGACTCTAATTCTGCATCATTTAGGACTTTGAGATGTTTGTCGCCCAAGGGTCTAAGAATAAAGCTTCACGAGACCCCGATTACCTTAGCGTAAAGATATCCGTGCTTCCTGGAGGTTGTTGAAGCCAGACGCCTCGCCCTGTGGACGTGTGTCTCGAGGACGGAGGTGTGCCCTCGTGTAGGCGTTACTTCTCCCGATTGATGGGAGTAGCGTCCTCGGACATGGTGAAGGCCTTGTGTAGTTGAATATTTTTTTTTCTATTGTGATACATATACTTCCACATACTTTATGGTCACAGCACTTTAAAGAAAATCCAATTGAGACTATGTAATGATTGGGTTCTATAGCAGTCAGAAAGAGTAAATTGCCAAGGTACTAATTAACATCAGGTGTAAATCCCCAATTGTTAAATCTGTCAGGACAGACAACGCGCAAGATCTGACGCCAGGGTGGGATTTTTCATTGTCTCTGCTTTATAATTATCAGAACATCTTATTTTGTATTTCATACTGCCTTTAACTTGAAATAAAATATTTATACTTCTGGAAATGGTACAATTTAATCTACAGAACGTCCTAAACTGTTTCATCTGGTGCCTTGCGTCTGAAAACGATGTCACTAGAGATTAAAAAAACTCATGACTGAGCAAAAGCGCAGCCTCTGTGGTATTTAGAAGAGCGGAGGTTCGCACCTGGGAGCTCTCACCTGGGCAAGCGTCTCGTGCTGTCCTTGGAGGCATACTGCTTTTACGTGGAAGGATTGAGTTCTCTGAACTCACTGTGTCTAAGGCCCTGTGAGGAAGCAAATGGAGAGCTGGCCCAGCCGAAACAGGAGCTGTGGTCCAGCTTGAGTGTAGTGTCGGCTTCCAGAGCAGAGCCCCCAGATGGTGCCCAGAGGACTGAGTGGCCAGGCCAGCAGAGCGCTTTGGACAAGTGGCAGCTCACCTTCCGGAGGAGACCACAACTCATGGCCCCCAGGTACTGCTGGAGTGTGTCAACGCATGTAGCTCACCTCCACAGCAGTTGAAAAGACTATTCTGATCTATAACTGAAGAAAGGGGCCTTGACACTGCCATGGTGGTGGTGTTCGGTGCCATCAAATACGATTCATAGTGACCCTGTGACCAACAGATCTGAACCACGTTCTATTCTGTGCCATCTTCACACTTCATGACACACAAGAGCCCAGTGCAGCAGTCACTGTGTCAGTCCACCTGGTCTGGTTGAGGGTCTTCCTCTCCCTCACTGACCCCTCCACCCTTCCAAACATCATGTCCTTCTCCCAGGATTAGCTTCTCCTAGCAAATGCCCGAAGTATGGGAGGCGAAGCCTGATCATTCTTGCCTCTCCAGGACATACCCGTCCATCGGCTTGGCCGTCCACGGGATGGTCAGCGCTCTTCTCCAACCTCACAGCTCAAAGGCATCAGCACTGTCATAGAACCTTTCAACCATGCCTTTGTGGGTGTCCTTCGATGCCGCCAGGGAGTTTGTGAACGGTGATTCTTGGATTGGCACCATGACTGTCACAAGGGTGTGTGTCAGATGGTGGGGCTGGCACATGCTAGCACAGGGCTCAGATCTGCTGTTCACAGGGTCACCCTGAGCACCTAACGGCAGCAGTATTCAAAAAAGTGGACTTCAGAGGACAAGGGAGACTGAGAACGGAATCAATGCTGGCAGGAGGGCTGCTAGCGTCCCCGTAGCCTTTCTGTTCCTGTTACCCTGGACTGTACTGGCAGGCAGCATCTCAGGGCCTTTTACAGAAGTTCACTTAGAAAACATCTCTTTAATATTACAGATGCTGTCCTTTTCTAAATTAATGTTTACGCCAACTCCTTTGGTCACTGGCCAGCCCTGGGGTCAATGACCCAGTAAGATGAGCACAGGTACTGTGAATCGGTTCACATTTTTCACATCATGTGGTCTTAGAAATGAATAAAAAAATCTCACTGCTGTCTGGTAGTCTAGTGGCAAGAAGCTGCGCTGCGATCCCAAAGGCACACGCTTGGAATCCACCAGCTGCTCCGCAAGAGGATGGGCAGTGTCCTCCTGTGCAATTCACAGCCTCTGGAAACCCGCCAAGGGTCGGCGCTGGGCCACTCGGCTCCACGGCACACACAGCAGCACTGCTTTCCCGGCAAGAGCGACTCCGGCCGGCCCTCCAGCTCCAGCTCGGCGGCAGAGGCTGCCGGTCATCTGAGGAGGTGCTGGATTTGAACCGCCCACCTCGGGTGGCAACGCCACCCCCGTCCACAAATTCACACACCCGTCCTACCTGTCCTCACCAGGGACTCTAAGTGTGAAAGAGGCTTTGATTCTGAAGGAAGCTGCTGTTGGCTCGCAGGGAGAGATGCCAGCCATCCCGAAAAGCAGGCTCTGAGGGTGGACAGTGGGATGGTTCGCTGCGTATTAGCAGGTAAAGCATGTGTGTACCTGGCCTGCTGCCTCCAACCCGGGCCATCTGTCCACCTCTTCCATCCGACAAGCGTGCCCGTACTCATCACGTAGACCCACCAGGGAAAGGACCCGCACTGGCGCCCGGGGAGCTCCGCCAAGTCCAGCGCCCGAGCACATCAAGGTCAGTGCAGAGGTCACTGGGGAGAAGACCCCCGCAGGGCCCACAGGGCAGCCGAGGACACAGCCCTCCTGCCTGACCACCTGGTCTTCATCCCGCTCCTCCTCCAGCTCCCCTTAGGGCCTGGACAGAAGCAGCCCTCCCCAAATGCTGGGCGTTTCCTCTGGGAGGTGCCGCTGCCCGAGAACACAGGCGTGCACAACTCTAAGAGTTCCTGAAGTCACAGAAAGCAGACTTGTCGTAAGCTGTTTTTATTATGCCCAAGGTCTGAAGACAAGTACAAAATAACCTCGTAATTAGGATACTATATCCGTCGATAGAAAAGGAGGCATCACTACAGTATGAAGATTTACAGGTGACAGATGAACAGGCAGGATTCACAGACAGGTTCAAGTGTGCAAGGTGGGCTAGCTTTCCCTTTTAGAAATGTTACTTTCTCTTAACAAGAAAAAAGAAATCAAACCTGGTGGCGGACGTATGTATAACCATGAAGTGTGAAAGGAGAGTCGGAACGCTCCTACGATAAGCATAACAGACACCGCTGTGCTACCAGCAGCCTTCACCCACATGCCTCGTTCTCGCCGTCAGGACAGTGTCCGCTCCAGAAACTAGGGCGGCACGACCCTTAAAGAAGTCCATTCACAGTTACAGCCTACAGGAAAGTGAACACCCGGGCAGTCTATGCGACGGGGCAGCCATTCTCGACATGCACTAGGGAAGGTCTACGCTACAGAGCCACCCGCCCGCCCTCCAGCCCTGCCCACGCTGGCGGTCACTGCGCCTCCCTGAAAGCACAGCTCCTGACAGCCTCTCCAGAGAATCTTCGTCATCCAGGTGGGTGTCCCAGCAGACCCTTCACAAACACCCTCTGCGCACCAGCGGTGACAGCAACGGGTCTTAACTGAAACCCCCAATTCTTAGATCCTTTGAAAGCCTTCAGGGGTCGAGAGGTGTCCGAGGACTGGGCTTTCATTTTCCCACAGCTTGGGGCTGGAACAGAGAGGGGGGGTCTCCATGCTCCCCAAGGGGAGAAAAAGAGGGTGGGGCGGGCTGTGTGCACTGGGCTGAGGGTCGACTTATTGCTTCCACAGTGTCACTACAGGGGGCGTCCCCCCAGGGCTGGCCGGTGACCAGTCCTGTGCCCTGGTCACAAACCGCCCCGGGGCCCCAGGGACCCATCGTGCGCCGGAGTCAGTCCACACTAGGATTTGGCATTTGTTCACGGTTATTGGCACAGCGCTCTGCAGAGTCCCGTCTACACTGCCATCGCCGGGCGCCCAGGGTCAGCCGATCTGTAGCATCTTCATGTCCGCCAGGAGGCCCTCCCTGCCCTTGGCGCATGGCAGCGACAGTGGCTTCAGCCGGCTCTCCACCTGGCCCTTGCTGCCACCTCCGGGGCCCCGGTTGCTGGCCTTGTCGCTGGTCTTGTTCTCTGCCCCTTCCGCTCTGTCTCCTGCAGGAAGACAGAGATCAGCCAGGGAGCTCTGCACGGTTAACGTGCTCTTAGCCCTGTCTCTGTGTCGCTGACCACTCCCAGCAGAGCGGCTTCTCCATCGCTCACGGCTCCAGCCTTTTCCTCCCACTGCGTATTCGTCCTCTCAGAGGGTCTGGCCTCCCAGGACAGCGCAGAGCACTCTGACCTCCTGGGAGCAGAGCCCAGGGCCTGTGACAGTGTGCACGCCGGGGACCTACACTCCACTCCTTCAGAAGGGGTCAGACAGAGCTGGGAGCCCCCAGGATGAAGAGCGAGGCCTGCACATTGAATATACCACCCACGTGGACACCCGCAGCCCCAGCCAGGGTTCACACAGTGGCTGGGAGCCCCCAGGCAGGGTGAGTGCTGACCGCCTGTGGACTCCACGCAGCCCCGGCCAGGCCAGGCTCCACACAGCGGCCACGCGCTCACCTCTCTCCACCTCGCACTCAGGAGACGAGGCTCCGCTGCATTCACTGCGCGGACCCAGCACCGGGAACATCAGGCCGAACTCGGACAGCGACACGGGGCTGGGCAGGTCCAGGCTGCTGGGCCTCGCGGCCGCAGGAAACACCTCGGAGGGGCTCGTGGGCCCCGAGCTGAAGCTGGACACGGACTGCGTCTCCGAGTCGTCCTCGGACAGGAAGTTGCTGCAGGCGTCGTCTTCAAACGCCTCGGAGGCCACTAGAATGAGACACCACGTCACAGGGAGGCTGAGGGCAGGTCACCATGTGCTGGCCGCCGGCACAGGACGCGTGCACCACCACCGAGAACCCTGGGGACAGCTGTGTCCTGAAACGCCGGGGGCGACCTGGGGCAGTGAGGGGCTACTGGGCACTCAGTGGGCAGGAATGGGCATCGGCCATGGGAGCCTGACCCTCCCTCCCGGGCCTGCTGACCGGTCACACGACAGCCAGAGTTCCTGGGGGCCCACCCAGTGGAGACCCCGGGGTGAAAGCCTCCAAGAGGGCTGCCCCTGCTCACCGGAGACGCTGTCCGGCTCGGGCCTGCCCCCCGGCGAGTCCTCGGTGGCCGTGCTGCCCTCGGCGCCCACCCCGCAGCCGCGGGGCCCCATGGCACTGGAGCGCCGGCGTGCGTGGATCTCGTCCGAGATCATCTCCAGGTTCCGCAGGGCCGTCTTGTACTCGCCCTTGGCCAGGGCTAGCTTGGCCTGCAGCTCGTCCACCGTCTTCTTGAGTTGCTGGGGAGGGAACAGGGTGGTGAATAGAGGCTGTCCTGTGGGCAGGACCTAGGCTTCATGGGGGGACAGCGCCCCCGGCCGTGTCTGCAGACTCCTCAAGGCCTGGCCGGGGCCCCCAAGTCCTCCATTCACACCCACCTCTGTCCACTCCCCAGACCGAGTCAGCCACCACCCCGGCCTCGTCCACGGGGACACGCCCTCCACCCGGGTGCCCACCCGCGGTCACTCTCACACTCAGGACACAGTCACACAGGACGGATGGACGTGCCAGCAGGATCTGACTCATGGGATGCTGGCTGGGCTGAGTGTCTCCAGCAGGCGAGGCCGCCATGCCAGGCCACACCAGGAGCCAGCACCCTCGCACAGTCTGCGATGTGACCAGTGGCTGACTGGATGAAGACCCAAGACAGACACGCGTCTCCAACCTGCCCTCCCGTCAGCTCAAAGCCCCCACTACGCTGACGTAAAGCAGTGCTACAGGAAACACGAGTACCCACGGACAGTGTCCACAGCTGTCCCCCCGCTAGTGTGGGCTTGAACCACCAGCCCTTTGGTTAACAGCCAGGCTCCAGAACCCATGCCTAGCAGGACAGTGGATCGGAAAGCTTACTGCCACACAGAAGCAAAGCAACAACCCCACAGCGACCCGTCGGACTCTCACTCACCTCGAGCTGCACGTAGTACTTTGCCTTGAGTTCAAAATACGGCCTGTGGGGGGGGGGAGAGGAAAGATCAGGTGGGGGCTTTGGGGGCCTCGTGGGTAAGGGGCTGCACTTCAACCCAAAGGCAGGTGGTTTGGATCCACCAGCTGCTGCACAAGAGAAAGATGACTCGTCTCCTGAAAACCCACTCAAGGGTCAGCCTGGGTCAGTTCTGATTCCATGCCAGAGACACACAGGCCAGTGACCACTCGGGTATATCAGAGCCAGAGGAGGTCGCCTCGTCCTCATGCAGTGGGAGAGGTTGGGTGCAGGTGGACAGAGGAACAGAGCAAGGGGACACAGGAGGATTTCCCGGAGAAGACTGAGGAGGGCCCGTGGACAGGGCGTGGGTGAGGAGAGGTGGGCACTGGGGTCCTTGGTTAACCCAGCACTCGGGCCTTTTAAGATCCGTCCTTACAGTCGTCAAGGACAGGGGCCCTAAGACAGGGGGAGAGTTGGAACGCAAGGAATTCTATCTTCTTAATAAAGATAACTGAGGAGAAAGAGAGTGAGTGTGAGAGGGAGAGTGTGTGTGTCGGTGTGTAGGTGTGTAGTGGTAAGTGGGGAGTGTGTGTGTCAGTGTGTAGGTGTGTAGTGGTAAGTAGGGAGTGTGTGTAATGGACAGGAATCTAAGAACACCAGGCTGGTGGGAGAACGTGGCAGAGGGGACCCCGGGACAGAGGAAGGCCGTCAGCCTTGACCACCCGAGAGAGACGCCCTGGAGGGTGGACGGCCCCTCTGTCCCTCAGCTGGAGGCGGGCTGGCCATTGGCTGAACTCTGGCTGCCATCCCTGCCCCCACCAAGAAGCCTCAAGCTGCAATGCCCACCTAGGGGCTCCCCAAGAGGACGAGCACACCCTGATGACCACATCATACCGCATTTCTTGAGTTCTTGACCTGATGCACACCTTGTGTGCTGTCATTCCCACTATGCTGACAGGTAAACTGAGGCACTGGGGCACCACAAGGTCACCTACTGGCCACCCACAGGCCACAGCACTGTTCATATCAGGGATTCCCTTTCCTGGGTCTCCCAAGCACCAGACCCTCAGCACTCCTCCAGAAGATGATGACCAGGGGCCCAAGGCAGGTGACAAGGACCCTCAAGGGGCCCAGGCACCCACCCTGAGCACCCCTGTACAGGATGATGACCGGGCCCCCGAGTGCCAGCCGGGACTCACTTGGACTTGCCGATGGCCCTCTTGAGCTTCTTCTCCAGCTGCCGCATGCGGCCCATCGCGGCGTTGTACCGGGCCGCCGTCTCCTTGTGCACCAGCTCGCTGCGCGTCTTGGTCTGCTCGGCCTCCATGACCTGTGGGCGACACCGGCTCAGCCTGGTGCCCCTGGGCGCGCCCCGCCACCACTTCCCTCTTCAAAACCAGGAATCCCGAGGAAAGGAGCAGGCCAACGAAGACGGATCACGTAGCCAAACAAGCGCATCTCCCTGCCCCCAACCAACCTGTTCTCAAAAGCTGTTTGTCAGGGAGACTGTCACCACTTTGGGAGGCGGGGAGAGAAACATGGGGGAAAGGGGAAAACCAGAGAAAATCCTCGGAAATGGGCCCAGTGGATGTCGGCCTCACTCTGCTTGGGCCCTAGACCTTGGCAGCTGCCGCCATGGGGTCCCCGTCCTCAGAAGGAGAGGCAAGCCCAGGAACAGCATATGGGAAACCTCGAGAAATGGAAGAATCCCCTCAAAACCAGGCACAGCGGCCGTCAAGACAAGAGGGTTGGGCAGTTCAGCCCTTCCTCAGATGGCCTGAGTTAAGACGGCCGGGCACACAGGGACCCGGGATCTAGAAAGGTCATGTCACACAGATCAGAACCCTTGGCGATCAGAACACTTAGGGATGAGAACACTCACAGATCAAAACACAGCCATCGCTATCAAACTCTGGAGGTCGCAAAATTCATGACCAGGAAGGAGACTGGAGTCCCAAGGGGTCACTGAGTTCAGTCTGTCATAAGGGGCTGGACTGTGTCCCCCCAGTGTGTTCATTTCTGGCCCTTGTACCTGTGGACTGAGGGCAGCCAGCACCCCACCACCTGCGTATGCAGTCTTGTCATGTTAACCACATCCCGGCCAAGGGAAGACCCGCCCGGCAGCCTAATGGGTAGGGAGGTGTGCTGCCAGCACAAAGGCCGGGGGCTCCAATCCACCAGCCGCTCCAGGGAAGAAAGGTGGGCCTCTTGTGTGATCTGAAAAGTGCTGAGGGCCAGCCAGGGGTGCGTGTGAGGTTGTGAGACACGTGCACAGGGAGGGGGACATGTCCTCTGAGGGTCATCTACAGGTCAAGGCCAGGGTCACCAGCACTGGAGGGGTCGACACAAGCGAGACCCTGTTTGGACATCTGGCTCCCAGAACTGTGACCAAATCAGTGCCTGCTCTTCAAGGCTGTTCACTTGTGTCAGTGTTACAGGAGCGCTAGGAAACTAAGACACTGTTGATAAAAGGGACTTAAAGTATCAACAACACAAAAAGTGTGCCCAGCGGCACCATTGCACACAGCCCAGCGAGTGCTGACCCGTCCTCCACCTCAGGGGGCCCAGACCACAGCCCTCTGGGCCCCAGGAGAGGCGGCCTCGCTGTCCCTCATGCCGTCTTGAGTCTGGTCAGATGGCCCTGATTCTCAGCGCACCACCAGATGTGGGTCCGAGACCCCCTCACTGTGGGGCAGACAGGGCAGCAGTGACCCACTCACGTCCACCCCATCCAAAACCAGATCCCTCTGCAGTTCATAACGTGCACCCCTAATATCTGGGGGAGGACTCTGGTAGAATAGGGAGTTCTACCAACTAACTGCCTCTCTGGCGGTTCAAATGCATCAGCGGCAGCAACACTGGGCATGTTTCAGCTAATTTCTAGCAAGAAAATACTCTGGATTGTACATATATGTGTATGCACACAGTGAAGTATGGTGGTGTGCACCACTGAATCCGAACCGACCACGGCTGACCCGCCAGCAGGCTTTCAGAGGCAGTAAATCGCACAGGAGAATGCGCGCCCTTCTCCTGCAGAGCAGCTGGTGGGTTTGAACTACAAACCTTTACGTTGGCAGCACAATCCCTTACCTCTAAACCACCAGAGCTCCCTGGAAAAATACATGTAGAGTAAGTACAAAGTATGTCTCCATACAGTAAATGACATAAACGTATATGTGTGGGCACGCACACACACTTGTCCCGCATGGACGGTCAGTCCCTGAGCTTCACACCCTCCTTTGAGGTTTGGGGGGAGCTGACCCAGGAACCCTGCCCTGCCCTGTAATGGTGCTATGAGCCCCCTGTCCACTGGGGGGCACCATTGGAGCTGCAGACCACTGGCCCAGAGTCAGCATGGACCGTCCTCCAGGTCAGCTGCACGCCAGGCTTTCTATTTACAGAAGCACCGGCTGGCATTTTCGGGTCCCCCGAGCTTGAGCCACGGTGGCAGGTGACACTGGAGGGAGGGAGGTTGCTGATAGTGAGGCTGACGTGGCCTTTGGGGACCACCCATGCACAAGTGCAGTCCCACCCCATGCAGGGCCACAGGTGCTGAGGGTGCACGGAGGCTCAGCTCCCACCATGCAGTGGACAGCACTGCCCGGCCCCGCTCCTCCAGTCAGCACTGCCCGGCCCCGCTCCTCCAATCAGCACTGCCCGGCCCCGCTCCTCCAGACACTGGAGGGCTACACATCGGCAGTGGGCACCCAGCAGGCTGCCACTGGAGGACACTGGGAACATGGCACTGAGCACCTGGGAGAAACTCAGGAGTCCTGCCCGGAGGAGGGAGCTCGGCAAGTGCAGGTAAGCAAGCACTTGCTGGGAGCTGGAAGCCCATGCCCACTGCACAGCAGCTCGGGAGAAAGAACGGCCATCAGCTTCAATGTGGACTGCAGCCTGGACAAGCCAGCAGTGGCCCCTCATCCACGTAACGGGACAACACGCCTGGAGGAGGGACGAGCCCCCACCCTGGAGGCACCTGGCGTCGGGCAGGGGTGACCAAGGACCAGCAGCTGTGTCCGGCAGTAATCAGTCAGCAACGTGCTGGGAGAGGACAGAGTGGGGCTGGCAAAGCATCAGAAATGGCACAAGACTCACTCCCAGTCGGCCGCCTCCTTCCCTGCACAGAAGGCCAGGACTGGTCTCCCGGGCTGGTCTAGGAGCCGGCCACCTCAGCACAGGACACCCCCAGTCGAGACCCAACTTCCAGCTGCTCACCAGCCCCCTCCTTCCAGGACTCGGGTCATGGCCACCCTTCCAGGTCAGTGAGAGCGACCCAGGGTGCCCGCCCAGCGCCCTGAAGCCGCGGCCAAAATTAACACCATCATGGCTACTGGACCAAGTAAACACCAGGCAGGGCAGAGAAGGAGTGCCAGGCCGGGGAGGCTGCTGCCGGGACTGTGGCCCGTCGCTGACCATCAGCTCTGCACGTACAACAGCCGCTCTGAGCAAACCAGGCCCCGAGGAGCCCAGCTCAGAGTGGACAGCGCAGCCCTACAGGTGTGCAGTAACCGTCACAGATGTGCCCACATCCACAGGTGTGCAGACACCCACAGATGTGCAGTAACGGTCACAGGTGTGCCAGCACCCACAGGGGTGCAGACACCCACAGGTGTAGACATCACAGATGCCACAGGTGCATAGTGGCTCACAGGGGTGCAGACACCCACAGATGTAGACATCACAGGTGCATAGTGGCTCACAGGTGTGCCGTACCCACAGGTGTGCAGACACCCACAGATGTAGACATCACAGGTGCATAGTGGCTCACAGGTGTGCCGTACCCACAGGTGTGCAGACACCCACAGGTGTAGACATCACAGATGCCACAGGTGCATTGTGGCTCACAGGTGTGCCAGCACTCACAGGTGTGTAAGATGCCCCATACCCCGTAGGCAGGCATCGACAGGTGTGCACCCACACATGCAGACAGACACCGCCAAGGACAGACATCCCCAGTAAGCAGAGCCACACAGGGGCAGACCCCACGCTGACACGCGGCCCCCTGCCACCCGGAGCCACCTCCTACCCGCTGCGTGGCGTGGTTCAGCATCTCCTGCCAGGCCGAGTCGAACTGGCGCTTGTCGTCCTCCAGCAGCCGCTGCTCAGCCAGGGAGATGGTCTCCTTGGCAGCACGGAGCACCTCAGTGGCTCTCTGGAAGTCCTGCGTGGCCTTCTGTGCTTCCAGCTGAGCCTGTGGGAGAGATGGCCTCATTAGCCCCCGACAGGCATCACGGCCCCCAAAACACGTGCCCCAGGGCCTGCCTGCACCTCCTCCACTGCTGGCCTGGCACCAGAGGTCCTGTAAATGCTGGTGGTCAAAGACCACAGTCTAGAAGCCAATGGCCAAGGCAGACATGTCAGCCCAAGGTGGACAAGACTCAGGAGGAACGGGGGAACCCACACCCACCAGCAGAGCGACTGTCACGTGTGGACAGGACGTGCTCAGAAACCACAGGCGAAAAACATCCCAGAAAGAGTCCTCCACCTGCAGGCTGCCACCCCCATCTTCCAAGGCAGAGGGCAGGTCAAGCCTTGGCCCCACACCCTTCATGGACACGCACGGATGGTCAACCCACCCTCACAAGACAGAGATGAGACAGGTGCAGCCAATCACGGCCGTTGGCAGAGCAGTTCCCCCTCAGTCGTGGCGGGCCAGGGGGGCCAGCACCTCCCCGCCCGGAACATGCCGAGAACATGAGGGGAAGTGTCTAGGTGACCCAGGTTATAGCATAGGGCACCTCAGAACCAGAAGGGCTCCAGGGATGACGACCCAGTGGCCCCAGCGTGACCTGAGAACTCTAACCATCGCACGGGTCTACACCACAGCAGCTGAGACTGCAGCCGCCAGTGGTGTGCTGGGTTCACTAAAGCACAGTATTTAAAATAACTGCACTGGTTCCTCTTAAAACTCTATTTCAGGCTCACAGATACTTGTGTCAGCACACACATACCTCAAAGTGCTGGGTGTGGGGCTGCATTAGAACTTGACAAAACATCATGGTCACCAATCCCCAGATGAGGCTGCCCGGACTTCCCAAACACACCAGCCCCAAATGTAAGTGCCCAGAATTAACCAAACCTCAAGTCGGTTACATAAGACCTGGGGGACCTCGGACAAGGGGGGTGGTACAAGAGGGGCCCACACCCATCACCAGAGCGATCGTCACATGGTGGAGAGGAAGCGCTCAGAAACTCCAGGCTAAGAACATCTGGACAGAGGCAAGGGGTGCACCAGCCCCAAAGGGCAAAGGGCAGTCTTCACAGGCTGCCACCACTACACCCAGATGGCCACCTGCCCAGGGTGAGCGTCTAACCCATGCCACCAGGGGTCCTCCTGAGGGTCATGCCAACGCACTACCATCAAGTGCTGACTCCAGAAGATGCTGAGGCAGGAGCAGAGATGCCCACAGGTGCCCAAAGCCCTAATCCACATGGGTGATCAAAGGACAGACAGAGACATCCTGGAGGAGGAACGGCCAGGGGCTCCTGAGACGAGCGGGCAGCCTGGTCTCACCCACTGTGGGCGTGTTGTCAGGAGGACCAGCCCTTGGACACAGACATCAAGCGTGGAAGGTGGAAGGTGAGGGAGAAGATGACCCTCAGTGAGGAGGACTGACTCAGTGAGGGCTTCACCGTGAACTTGAGCATGTCAGAGACGGCGAGCATGGAGGACAGGGTCACAGCTGATGTGCACAGGGTCGCTGTGAATCAGGAATCAACGGCCCCTAACGAACCAGAAACAAAGCCCAAGGCTAAGCTCAGGGTGCAGGGGGCACCCCCGCATCTACATAAAGGGGCTGCTCCCAGTCACAAACACAGACACGGTCACCACAAACTCATCTATGAGACAGGTCAGGGAAGTGACCAGTGTGAGGTGCCCTGGGGCAGCCAGGAGGGGGACAGGGGCGTGTATGAGGAACAGCGAACACTGTGTCGGGCACCAAGCCAGGCTGTGGGAACGCAGACGCCGCCAAGGCCATCTACACGTCATCTCTGAGCAGAGTACAGCTCTGGGGCTGCTTCCTGGTGTTGGAACGCGGGTCCTCCAAAACCAAAGGCCAATCCCACACCCTTGAAGAGAAGTGACTGCCCAGCTCTAGGGCCGTGGGACAGGGGACGTCCACGGCTTTCCCTCCCACCTCTGTCCCAGGCGATCTATCTAACAAGGGTCTCCACAGCCCTCATGAGCGGGAGTGACGTGGAGACTCACCCACAAGCTAGTGAAGGAACTGAGGCTCTGCTTACATCATACAGAGTGACATGTTAGCGGAGCAGCTCAGGGCTGGGAAATGCTACCGGGAATACTGCTAAACACCTTCATGACTCATGGCTATGAATGGAGAGATCTTTAAAAGGTTGCTCGTGAAAGGATCTGATATGTGGCCTTCGCTGGGTGCTGGAAGTGGCCAGCTGGGACTGAAATGTGTAGGTGTCCCACAAAACGTCATTAGCGAGGGGTGAGGACAGAGAAGCCTGGCACTGAGGGGGCAGCAGGGAGAAGGGGCAAGGCTGTGGACCCCCAGCCACCCTCGGGCTCCAGAAAGAAGAGGGGCATTAGGGCACTCAACAAAGGTCCTGCCAAGAGTAAGGGTGGCCGAGGGATGGCTGTATCTGACCTCTACGAACTTCACACAGAGGAACCGCACCACCAGCAGCATCCACGGTACAAAACCAGATCCCATACCCCCACATCAACTTCTGCAAATGCCACCAATCGTTCTGCCCTTCGACTGGGTCCAAAGTCTATTGCCATGGCCATGCAGCCCTCAGAGCAATGAGGTTTACTGGTTACAGTTCAGGTTGGCTGCAGGACATGATTCCTCAGTCCGCAAAGTCCCTCACGTGGAGTCACAAGCTCTCTGACCTTGGGCCTTCTGGCTGAGGTCAGTGTCACAAAGTTCCCATAATCCTGCCAGTTATGGATGGCGTCTCCCCTCAGTCCTCCAGCGAGCTGGGGAGACGGTCGCTGGCTCAGGCTCCATGGGGCCGTGGTCCTGGCTCAGCTCTGTGTCAGGGTGGTCTCTGCTGAGGCCACTGCTCTCCTGTGGACCCTGGTCCAAGTGGGGCAGCGACCTCTGGTCCTGAGAGACACACATTGAACCTTCTGCCTCCTCCTTCGCACTTTTGCTGCTAAACTTGCTCAATTTAAACTTGACGGAAGAGGAGAAAGTGACCATTGCCTTAATGGCTAGTTTACACCCACCTCACTTCAGCTTCCCGCCCAGTCACAGGGTGAAAGTGAAAGTCAATGGCTCAGAGAGTCATTGGGAACAATAAGCCCATGACACCACCAATCCCAAGACAACTGGAGTTTCTAGATCACGCAGCGCAGTGCCCAGAGAGGCCAGTGTCCCTGTGGAGGGCAGCTTCTCTCCCTGCCGGGTCATAGAGAAGCCGCGCTCCGCAGGGACACTTCAGGACAGCCACAGGGTGGCAGCTGGGGTGAGAGAGCAGACAGGTGGGCGTACAAAGAACAGCTTCTTCTCCCTCCGCAGCCCGAGACAAGGAGGTGAAAGCACGGGAGGCCCTTGGCCAGCCCCACTCCCTGGTCCTGCCGGCCCTGCCCCTCTACCAGGGATCAAAGAGAGAGCTGCCTACACTCCCCAGGGTGGCTCTCTGGCAGCATGGGCCCCACCACCATCAGGACAGAGAGGGCCCTCTGCAGCTCCCCACCCTAGGGACCCCACTCCTCACACACCACAGTGCCCACAAAAGCAGCCTCCTCCCACCCGCACAGGACCAGCTTTGACAGCTGGACAATCAAACCACTGTCACACAAGGACAATGTGTCAGGAGAACAGGGAGGACCCAGTTTTCTTCTGACAAAACAATGGCCACTGCTTTCCTCCCACAAGCTTGAGTGAGTCATTCTGCTTCTCGGGGGAGGCAGCTCCAGAAGGCTAGAGAATTTCATTGCAGCTGGAACAATGCAGAACACTGGGTAACTAGCATCTAAACAGCACAGAACACTGTGTAACCATCATCTAAATGATATGAGACAGAGTGTAACCAGCACTGAAACATCACTGAACACTGTGTAACCATCATCTAAACGATACGAGATATAGTGTAACCAGCACTGAAACAGCACTGGAGGCATTTAGCTCAAAAAGGGCCAGTTATGGCTGGGACTCTTTCTTTCTATGGCTGCTTCCAAATATTTCCTAACAAAGCACTTTCAAAATTGCTTCATAAAGCAATTCTTAGCCAGTGCTTTGCTATTAACCTACTACACAATTTTTTCTGTAAACTCAAAACTATGTTACTGGGTTGAGCAACAACATAATTTGAAGATGGAAAAAGAGCTCTAGGCTCAATATAGCAAATTTTAAAAAAATTAATAGCTGTTTCTTGGCAAAAAAAAGAATTTCAAGCCACTGGAAAAAATTGAGAAACAATGGAACACTAACTGAAAGACAATTCTTCATTTAGTTAGGTGTGAAAATCATCTTACATTGTTTTTTAAACAATGACTCTTTCAGTGTATAGTGCTGGTGGCAAACCTAAAGGCCAGGCCTGTCAAGTTCACCTCAGAAACAGGGTGGAGGGACACTATTGATGGGAAGGGGCCCCATGGCAGTGTGTCCGAGGTTTTATCTGTTAGTGATGAGCATGTCAGTCTTGACAGGTGCAGTGCTTCGACAGACTACAGGGAACCTCAAGCAGCCTCCGTGACTGGTAGTAAGATGAGGCCTGCTGACCTGGTGATGGGACTTCATGATATGCTTTTATCTACTATTGAGTCGGGACTCATAGCTGACCCTCCAGCAGGTTTTCAGAGGTGGTAAATCACATAGGAGGAGACTGCCCATCTTTCCCTACAGAGCAGCTAGTGGCTTGCAACTGGGTGCCTTTGGGCTGGCAGTACAACTCCTTACCAGTAAATAGAATTGTTCTCGCCTGGAGCCCTAACTAGGATTGCAAGGCTGGAGGAAGTCTTCTGGGCCAGACAGAGGTAAGAGTCTGCTCTGCTTTCTGGCCATAAATCACCAGGGACTCCACTTGGGGACAGTTGCCCGGTCACTCAGCAAGTGCCCTCACCTCAGGCCACAAGGGTGACGCAGTTCCCAGGAACTGGCCTGACACCATGCACAGAGAGCAAGGCCAGGACCACTGGGGTGGACGTCACTAACCCTGACCACCCTCCACAACGTCCCCCAGGCCTCTCTCGGGTGAGAGGTTCAGCAGAAG